AATTTTATCGTCACCCAAAGAAAAAATAATGGGAATAATTAAGCAGGAGGAAAAGCTGTATTGGGAAAAATGCAGACAAAGTCGTTCTTTAAAGGTTCTGAATGACTTTGCAGGAACTGCTGAAACGTGCTGAGTTCTGGTGAAGATCTGCTTACAAATTAACTTTCACCACAGATCAACATGCGTTTCAACAGGCCGGCTTGTGCAGTCACGATGCACAAAGCTGCTTCTCTAGAGAAAAGCAGAAGGCCAGCCTGACTCCGCCTGTCTGCAGACCCACATTAACACAGTGCTAATGAAATCAAATTAATTAAGAGTTTTGCCCCGCTGTCATCTCTGCCGAGTCCCCTGAGGCTTCAGTCAGCGAGTGTGTTGAAACAGAACGGAACAGTGATTTTTCCATCACTGCCACCAGCGTTTCCAGGTTAAATCAGGGGGCAGATCTGCACCGTTATCAAGTACCTTTAGTTCCTCTACATAATGGTGTGGAATAAACTCACAGTGTAGTTTCGAAAGCGCAAATGTTCACTTGAAAGTTGTTAATTAATCAGGTAAAAGATGATTTTTATATCACAAACAAGCACACAGCAAATCATCGCTGTAAGAACAAAACCTTGTATCTCCAAAACAGTAAATTTACAGCAGAAGAAAAAATGGAGTGAGTTATTTTAGACAATTTTTATTGCTCAATTTTTTAAATTGTTAAAAAATGGAGTTTGTTTTAAGAATGATGAAACATTTCCACAGCTAACTCATATGCAAACCGACTCGTTCTGGGCTCAGCAGTGTTATAATGAGTGCATTTCTAATGGAGCTGCACTGTTTTTACACACTGTCTAGTGAGCTAGTCTGCCGTTTGGGACGCAGCAGAAGAAACACAGCTGTAAATCTCAGCCGTTTAGGTAGAATTTGTTACTGCGGCAACAAAAGAAAAAAAAATGTCAAAACACTCAAATATATCAGATAATATGCTTTAAAAATTAGTTCTGTTAGCTCATACACTACTATCATTGCACTGCCAAACAGTGGCTGCGTGATCGGGTGACGTCATAAGAATAATCCAAACTGATTTGTATTGTACTATGATGTAAGAGTTGACACAAATTTTATGATTTATTGGACGTTTTCTGGACATCAGTGAGGCTTCTGCAGCTACGCTGACTCACTACAGCGTCTCAGTTATCGCTGAACTCAGTCACTTTAGGTCATTTCACGACTCATCTCAGACTCTTCGCACGTCTTTGCGTGTGTTGCTGTGCTGTTCAACAGTGTGAGAGCTTCTCCTGCCATCTGTGCCTTCCGTGTCTTCTAGGAAACTGTGGAGAAAGCCGTGAATCACCCACCGACTAAGAACTGTATCTAAACCAAGACGAGATCACAGCTTCCTGCAGCACCTTTCAGACCATCAGCTACATCGCAGTGCTTGTTTACTCCTCGGCAAACACAGCCGCGCACACCGACCTTGCACCGTGAAGGTCTGTGGGAGCAGGAATCAGAGCCCACCCTTAAACCCCCCATTCCCACTGAGCACGCTCAGTAAAGGCTCAGTCCGTGGAGGTTAACGGCCAACAGGTGAGCTAATTAATCCTCCGTCTGAAACAACAGGCTTGGCTTCACCTGGAGAGCAATTAGTGCCAATTACAGCAGGAGTGAAACAGAGCGATTTAACAGCCTGGAAAACGACGCTCAGTTTCTCCACAGCGGAGAGAGGATGGGCCTGGGGTATGTATGGAGACGTCACAGTGGCATTGAATCTTCAGGATAATTTTGTGAAGGCAGGAACTCTGATCAGCTCCCAAAGCTATGAAATACCGGAGAAAAAGATTTTACTGTCTCACAGCAAGTGGAGCTCCAACTAATAATTACTGCTGTAATCAATGAATCTACAGACTATTATTCAATTAAATGACTATAATGCACAAAGTTCAGAGACACTCTTTATTACAAGCACACATATTTTTAAATATCAGGAAAAAAGCAGAAAACACATTTAACAGAAAATCATACGACGGCTAACTCGAATCTAAGCTGTGTGAGTGTTCAGTGTGTCAGTCTTTACCTTTATTACTGTTTCCATTCTTTTCAGGAGGCTCCCTTTCAGTTTCTCAAAGAAATCTGCAGACACACCTCCAAAGTTCAGTCTTAGAAGTTGGTTGATCATTTTCTGCTTCTCAACATTAAAGCACAAATATAGACTCATCAGTCAATCAAACATTCAAACCATGTTAGTGGCTGATGGGGGCAGGTCTTCCAGGTGGTTGTTAGGAGGCACATTTTCTCTATAGTTCTTAATCAGTTTTTGCACTCCAGTTTTGGAAACTCACTTATTCTCCTTGTCTTTCTCCTTCATTACACACTTTGATTATCTTATATCTGATCTCCTCTCAGATATCTCCTGAAAAAACAATAACTTTTACAATATAAAAAAAGGTTTGTTAGTTCAACCAAAATTATGCTCACAAGCAACTGAACTAGTTTTATTCAACTCAAATAAATACTTTGACTAATCATTCATCTAAAGTATTTAGTTCAGCCTAATATAATTAGTTCATTTACTTGCTGTCACATGAATTTTTTACAACTGACAAACTATTTATCCAGTGGACATGACCGTTTTGACAAGAAACGAAGTAAACAAATGGGGGTCTGAGTTCAGTACAGTGCTGCAATTATTCAGATGTCTTCGGTCAGAGAGCCAGTGAGGATCATATAAACATTATGAAGCTGAATTCTTCAGATCCATATCATAAATCCAGTTTCTGCTCCTGGATGTTGTGATTAACGGGTAGTTAACTGACCTGTTGGCGTGACTGTTTGGCCACTTACTGTCATTCTTTCCTGTGACCGCTAAATCTAGAACCAGAAAACTGGATCCGAGCTGTTATAGAGCATTACATTAATTTAGTCTAATTAAATTGCACATTTAGACATAAACGGCGCAACCGTCTAAATGTTGGCCCTATCATAAGGAGATCGTAAGTTCGATCCCTGGTGATGCTACAGCCATCCGTGGCCGGGAGGCCAAGAGAGCACAGCTGGCCTCGCTCTCTTTGGGTAGGCAGAAAGGCCCCTCCTTCTCCCCCCATCACTTAACGCAATGCTAGTCAGCACAGGCGTCTGTTAGCTGACATAACAGAACTTCGAAAAGTTCGAAAAGATGCAGTGGCTGGCTTCATGTGACTGGGGGAGTCCTAACTGGGGGAGTCCCCCCAAAAAAAAAAAGTTGTAGAAAACGATGTGCTGAACTTTCATCCACTTTTCAGATGAAACATTTTGCTTTTTGCTTGAAAGACAAAAAAAGCCAAATATTTGACAAATGAGAGATTAAACATGACTACAACCCAGAGTCAAACTCACTTCACAACGCAGTGTTACTGTACCATCTGCCTCATTCCTGCACTGTTTGGTGTGACTTCTATTTACTTCTGCTTGTTGACTGATGGGGCTAAATAAATTACTATTTTATATATTAAAATCGCAACTTAAGAGTGAAATTTTCAAGTCATGAAAGCTGCAATTTTTTTTTTTATTAAACTTAATAACACAGAGTTATAGATGAGGTAGACCAATTAGATCCAACCAAACCTCCATGTGTTGTGACATCACAAACTACATTTATTTTTATATGTAATGTATAACCTTAATTGTATTTTAAATATATATTTATATATAACAATAACGCAATCTTAAATCTTGAATGAGAAACTGATTTTCTCAGATTAATAGTGAAAATATGACCCATGTGGAACTTTAACGGTTTCTATGAGAAAATCCTTCAGCTCATTCTGTATACAAACTGTAATCATTTACTGTTTTTATTTACTGACAGCTTTTCATTGTTGATCAATCGCAGCAGTTCTAACAGCTCCAGGCTGCCTGTGTGAGTCACAGCTGTGGATCAGCTCTTCACTGAGACTCTCTATCCATCAGCCTGCTGGAAAATACAGATAAAGGCTAAAAGCTAAAAGCTTTATGGCAGCATCACCATAAAACAATAATAAACTCAACAGTAACGCAGCGTCAGGAAAAGTGACGACAGAATTCCTGAAAGTACGTCAACCCAACCTCAGCGTCAAGTGATTCCCGACTGGACGAACGCTCTCAGACTGACTGAGGCCTCAGGAACACACACTCCCCCAAGCAAACAGGGCCGGCTGCAGCACTAACGCTGATAAACAGACACGCGTCTGTTTGCAGACATAAAAAGCTCAGAGAGCTCCATAAAGCCGGAGCTCCAGATTGATTTGTTTGCGCTGTGGAGGTAACCGGCAGGCTTTAATGTTTGAAACGCTCTGAGCGCCTCACAACCGTAAAAAACCTCCACACCGCAAACACCGCACTCACCAAACACCATCCAGCCTCTCGGCCATCGCCCAGCAGGAGCATGAGTTCAGTGCTTTATTAGAGTCCATCTACACCATAAAAACCAGCCTCAGTCACGGTTCCTCAGAAACCTTGGACATCACAAGAGGAGGACATTACAAACATCCAACCCCCAACATCCAACATTCATCATCCATCATCCAACATTCATCATCTAACTTCCATCATTTAACATGCGTCATCCAACATCTAAATTCTAACATCTAATTTGTAGTATTCACCACAGTGGAGAAACTGTGGAAAGTGCAGATTCTAAACTTTCAATCCATCACATCAGTGTCCGTGAGTAGAAGAGAAGATATTTTAATATGCCTTTATAAATATTACCTATTAATAAGTATTATTTGTTTTTGACTTTTAATACAAACAGAAATAATTTTAAACCTGTTCATTCAGAATGGAAATATTATGTAAATTTTTATGTAACTATGTAATTGCACTTTATATTACATTTAAATAATCACAACATTCTGTAATTTAATAACTCTAAGAATGACAATAACAGCTCCTAATAGACTAATAATCACTAATTATTTTACCGAAAACAGTAACTAATAACAGACTCCTAAGAGTTGAGCTGTTGACTGAAGTGAAGGTGCTGCTTAAGTTCTGCTCACCTGCTCCACTTCTCTGTTTCCTCCGGAAGGTAGAAGGTGTGGAACTGAGTGGCCTGCAGCATCTGCGAGTCCATCCGCTTAGAGAGGTCATAGTAATGTCCAAAACGAGATGAGGAGGCCAGCTCGGTCTGGAAAGATCAGAAACATCAACAAGGAGAAGAAACGTCACCTTTTATTCATGAACTCAGACTTCAGCACCAACAGAGACAGCCCTAAATCTACAACTATAACGGTGTTTAACTCTATGGAACCGAGCGTCTGGCCAGTGATACATTCTGAGAATGTTTCTCTTTAAGCTGTTTGATCTGCTGCTGGAGGAGCTGCAGCGCTGCAGGTTCATACTGAACACAGTGAAGAGCATCAGTCAGAATCAGAGCTGCACTGAGTTTCTCATCACTGAGTAAAAGTTGCAGGAGGATTAAATACCGTCTGACATTACTGAGCATGTGAGCTCATTCTGATCAGTGAGAGATTATAAGTGATTTGTTTTATCAGAATAACAACTAAACATCACCGATGTGTGAATTATGTTCATATTCATGTGAGTTTGTGACACAAACTGAATAAAAATTTTCCAGCTTTTTAGCGCAGACTCTGAGTCAGTTTAAAGAGTTAAAGTGCAGGTTTTGTTTGTTTTTGTTTCTTTCTAAGCCACTTCTGCAGTTTACTGTGCACTTCTTACTCTGCTGAGAACTTAGAGAATCTCCTTCTGACCACACTGACCACTCTGGCGTACAAAAGCACACTGACGAGCAGGCAGATGTTTTTTCTGCTGTCATTTGGGGGAGTGGGGGGGTTGGTATCTGTTCAGGGGCAGGGGGGTTGGAGCCCCAGAGCTCGTAATGAGCCCCTAATCTGCTCTGATGTGGATCAGTGACCCCAAAATGCTGCTGCTGAACTCAGGTCAGATCAACAATTGCCTGACTGGACTTAATCTAAGAACTCTACAGAACTCTAAAGGACTCCATAGAACTCTATGGAACTTTCTAGAACTCTACAGAACTATAAAAGTTTCTAGAACTCTACAGAACTCTACAGGACTCTATAGAACTCTTTAGAACTCTAATTCTACAGATCTCTGTTTTACTTTGTACAACTCTTTAAAACTCTAAACAAAATTAGACTGAGGCAGTTCTAGAGTGAGAGAGAGAGACTAATAGAGTGATAGTGAGAAAAAGAGAGTCCAAAAGTGACAGAGAGAGAGTAATGGTGTGATAGTGAGAGTAAGAGAGAGAGAGAGAGAGTTATAGAGAGAGAAAGAAAGAGAGAGAGAGAGAGTGATAGAGAGTGAGAGTGTAATGTAGTGAGAGTGAGAGAGGGTAAATCTCTGAACTGCAGTGTTTTGAGGATTAGAGACAGTAGGAGACTTTCTCTGAGCGGGGGCGGGGAGGAAATAGTGTTGGGGGAAGTATGTTGGAGGCATTTTGGGGGTCATTGTGTGTCAGAGCTGACAGTGAATGAACCATTCCCTACCCCGACCCACCCCGGTCTGAGCGGGCTTAGTGTGAGTAATCCTGCTGCAGTAAATGGAGGCTTCAGAACCTATTTGGAACGGTGTGTATTGGGGGAGGGTGCTCACGGTGATAGATTTATTGCAGAAACAATCTCTCATACTCACACACACACATTCCTGCACAATAAAACTCTACAAAGTCAGAGAAATGAGGAAACACAGCTACAGAGACGGAGTCAGAGGTGAAACTGACACCCAAACTGACCCATCACGTCAACCTCAACAAAGCAGAGCAAGTTAAAACAGCGCTACACTTCACACAGCCAGAGAACTAAACACACTCTGACTGCCGCTGAACACACTGTCATAAATATACTCATAAAAAATTATATGAGCCGGTGATTCGGATCAATCATCAATCATAGTTTTCACAATTACAGTCAATCACAGTCATCACAGTCAATCAGTCATCATAGTCAATCAGTCATCATAGTCAATCACAGTCATCACAGTCATCAACATGATACAACACACAACACTGAATATAATAGCTTATAACACAGCATAAAACACATTGCACATCAGTACAGTCCTTCAGCTGAAATACAAAATGTAGGTCACTTGCAAAAGTAGCTAGCTTGCTAGTGAGAATGAATGAGCTAGCTCGCTAGCCTGTGTGTTTGACTGCTGCATTCTAAAAAGCATAAAAAGCACGCATCTGTATTTGTGTCTCACTAAAAGCCTCTGTGTGACAGCAAACAGCATATCTGACTGTTTAGTGGCCCAGACACATTCAGTACGGTTCAGCAACAAAACAGCGGCGAGCAGAGAGAGCCAGTGCGGCGGACGGCAGCAAGAAAAAGTGTAAATAAAGCGCAAACCGCAACACTTGACTTCGCTTCCTCAGAGTCATTACCATCTAAAGCTGCTTCATTGTATCCTCTGTTAGTCAGAATCAAACCTGTCCTGTGGTTGGCAGAGCTGGCAGCATGCTAGCTAAGCTAATGCTAACCAGCTACTCTCTCCTGGTTATCAGTGCTGTTTAACATTTAGAAATTGGTGTTAGACTGAAACATTGGAATTTAGTGAATGGTAAATTTAAAATTGTGCACTGTTTTCATTTATTTGGCGTTCGTGTGAACAAACTAAACTGATTTAATTTGAGTTTGAAAAAATGCAGCAGGATGCTGTAGCACAATACCGACATAAACAGAACCAATCAGTGAATAGCTACGTTGATAAGTCATCCCACTGAACAGTTCTGTGGCTCTGAGCACAGTTAGCTAACCGTGATGTGCTCAGTCCAGATTTTGAATGTTCCATGTGGAACCGTGTCCCTGTGCAAATGTTGCTGTCACGATTACCCACCGTGCTCAGAACCGCATATTTCAGTGGGTGAATGGACTTTTAATAAACTTAATTTAAAATGTAAGTGAGCGTGTACCTGAACTTTTGGAAGGTTCTGGTAGCGCCAGGCGATCTTCATGGCATCTGGAGGCTGTGCGTCTGCAGATGGGAGAAGTTCACCCAGATTTGGCGTGACATCATCATCCAAAATCGGTAACGGAAGATCCTACCAAACAAAAATCAAACACAAATAAAACTGAGTAATCAGAGAGGAAAATGAACAGAAGCCTTTAAAATAAGCAAATATCATTTAAGAGAAACAGCAGAATACAGACCAAACACCTAAACTGGCTGTTCATTCTCTATGTAAAATTTGTAATCAAGCAGTGAAACCCTCTGAGTTAAGGAGAAAAGGCCTCGGTCTCCTCAAGGATTCCACACAGATCAGATAATAACAATAATAAACCACAGTCTAATAAATAACAGCCAGAATTACAGCTCATACTCGAGTGTAACTGCACAGTCTCATTGATGACACACTCTCAAGACTAGTCAGCACCTCCTGTCCACTATCATTAAGGTTAGCCTCTTTAAGGGACACAGGTAAAACCCCCCAGAGCAGCGAAACCAGCACTGTGGCATTCTCGGAAATGTTAATGAAAGATGATGAGAGCGAGGCAGACAAAATAAACATAGTAACAGGTACGGAGACAGGTACAGAGACAAGTATAGAAACAGGTACAGAGACAGGCACAGAGACAGGCACAGAGACAGGTATAGGAATAGGTACAGAGACAAATATAGAAACTGGTACAGAAATAGGTACAGAAACAGGTACAGAGACAGGTATAGAAACAGATACAGAGACAGGTATAGAAACAGGTACAGAAACAGGTATAGAGACAGGTATAGAAACAGGTACAGAGACAGGTATAGAAATAGATATAGAGACAGGTATAGAAACAGGTACAGAGACAAGTACAGAAATAGGTACAGAAACAGGAACAAAGACAGGTACAGAAACAGGTACAGAGACAGGTATAGAAAAAGGGAACAGAGACAGGTACAGAGACAGGCTTAGAAACAGGTACAGAGACAGGCATAGAAACAGGTATAGAGACAGGTACAGTCAGATAGGACAGAGAAAAGAAAATAAAGGTACAGTTAATGGACGGTGGAAAAGCAGTGTGTCCAAAAGTATCCAGACAGTTCTTCTAATGAGCTACTTTAAGCTCTCATTGCTAACACAGATGTTCAGCTTGTATAATCTCCACAGAAAAGCACTGACCAATAGAAAGGGATGCTCTGCAGTAGCTTCACATGAGCCTAAGCTCTCCATGCCCAATGCCAAGCATGGGCTGGAGGGGTATAAAGCCCCTGGCATTGGGCTGTGGAGCAGTGGAACTGTGTTCTCTGGAATGATGGAGGTCCATCCAATACCTTTGGGATGTGTTGGAGTGATCCAGAACTGACCATGCAACATCGGTACCTGACCTCACTAGTGCTCTTGTGAAAGCTGAATGCAATCAAACACTACCATCACAACAGCCCAGGTGTTGCCTTCACTACTGCAGGTGGACAGGTAAAACTGACCAATTTTTTTAGAATTCCTAGTTAAACTGGCAGGATCCGAACAGAGTCGTTCAGAGTGGTTTGGTGTGAAACGCTCCCTTCTAGACAAACTTACAGAATTGTTCACAGTGGTGGTGATAGGAACCAGACATCCACCTCTAAAAGCTCCCTCACAGAAAGTTGTTACATGAAATTGTTATGAATACGCTGCCTGATGTCTGCGACATTGTTTTATAATAGTTTTGAGAAGATTTTGGCCTCAAAATCCATTCATGGTGGAAGAATACATGCAGGGTGCTGTGAGGCAAAATAGTCCCAAAAGAAAACTTATTATTTCAGATTTTCCACTATTTTACCATCATTAACATTCCATATAAAATTTAGAAGATCACCAAACCACTTTGAATGACTCTGTTTACATCTTAACCATTGAATTATAAGAAATTTTTAAAAAACTGGTGGAGTTCCCCTTTAAAGTTCAGGTGTTTTAAGGTGTTTTCTTTGTGCTTTTATGTTACTGTGTGAGGGGCAGTGATGAACAGTGGACAGGGCTGATGGAGAATATATCAGATTCCAAAGAGGTGCAGGTCATATTTTAAGTGTGCAACAGATTTTTGAACAATACCTGTATGATGTCGTCAGGGTGGTCTCGGGCGGAGGCCAGGTAGAGCTGATGTCCGCAGACCACGCCCTCCGCCAGGAAGTACTGCAGTAGCAGCCTCGAGTAGCTATCAGTCTGATCCTCCTCTACAACGTAAACACAGTTTAACACAGAATCATCAAACTGAATTTACACTCATTTTGAAATCTAAAATGAATCTTTTATCTTTTTATTTCAGATTTCTGCTTATATTCATCACAATTCATTCTCTGTAGTCTTCCATTTAAATGAACATGACTTTTAGTCCCGTCTCTAAAACATCTTTTTATTTTTGATGATGTCACCAGTGGGCACGGCAAAATAAAATTATTATGTACATTTTTAGTGTTAATATAGTACCATAAAATTTCATCACAATAAATTTTTATGTCAATCAAATCAATCATGTTTTACAGAGGGGAGTTGTAATATGAACTGACAGAAACACTAAATAATAAAAAAAAAATAAATAAATACATTAAAAAATGTATTTTTGTTAAACCTTTTTAGAAATGTTCTCCAAACTAAGTGACCAAATTCTCTCCAAATCACAAAGATCTGAGAATAAATTTAACTTTAATTTTCATAATTTGTACACAGTTCTCAGACTGAGTGTTTAAAGCTAATCATTAAAACACGCATTTTACAAAATATAGAGCACTTTTTAAATGAAACAATAGAAGTCATATCGCCCCTACACTTCCTGTAGGGTATTACAGTCTGTCAGAATGACTGTGTGGATTATTATATTATATTGTGTGGATCATATAAACATTACAGAGCACTTTTTAAATGAAACAATAGAAGGCATATTGCCCCCTATAATTCCTGTAGTATATTAGTCTGTCAGAATGACTGCGTGGATCATATGAACATTACAGAGCACTCTAACTGAACAGACATCAACAGCAAGCAACACTGGTGCTACAGAAAGTGAAACGGTTCAGGAAAGGTTAAATGGCCATTGTTACCGACTGTGTCAACCTCTTATCTCATTTTGCATTCCATAGTTCCAGTGTTGCTTGCCGTTAATTTCTGTTCAGTGACTGCACGCACCGAGGGTTCGATTTATGAAGGGGAATGTGAATTTGAGGCGGAACTGAATCAGATGTAACAGCCATGAACAGCTTGACCTTCCCATTTTTGAGCATTTTTCAAAATTTGAGCCAGGGATGGAGCTGAAAATAGTGGGGTGTAGTTACTCTTTAATTCAGGAGTTTCCAGTACAAAACTGCTAAAGCATAATAACTGTTTAGTTAATGACAGCAGTGACGATAATAACATTATATTATAATATAAACAATAATAACACTTTCATAAACATTATAATTTCAAGATATAAAAATAACAATAATGTAAATCAGAAGCAAACGAGCAAAATATTTCTTATACGTTCTGATCCTCCTTCCGTCTCTGAGAAACCATTCCACAGCTCTTCACACTGTCACTGAGGAACCTCCCCGCAGACCCCAAACTCCCCCTACAGGAACCCTCCCTTGAGCCCCCCAATTCCCCCCAATAGCCCCCCCAACCTGTCACTGAGGAACCCCCAAACAAGCCCCCCTATCTCCATCCCCATACCCGTCCCTTATTGATGTGTTTCTGGGTCAGTTCCCTTTGTGGCTTTCTGAGTTCCTCACAATATCCCCCAGACGGGCCCTCAGGGGCCGGGGGCCGTTATTGTGCTGCTGTTTCTATGGAGGAGCACAAATGAAACCCGCAGGGGCTATTAGCCTAGTGGGGGGGCAGTTAGGATGGACAGAGTGAAGGAGCAGTGCAGAGAGAACAGAATCGTGGGATGTATCAGTCACTCTGGGCAATCAAGTGCCACAGAGAGAGAGAGAGACAGAGAGAGAGAGAGAGAGAGAGAGATAGAGAGAAAGGGGAGGAGGGGTCCTCCTTTTATGTGAGGAGCAAAAGTGTTTGACTCGCTTTTAACGAGCGAGAGAGAGAGAAAGGGGGTGTGCAAGCTGCAGGATAAATGTGTGTCAGTGCTGTTTCCATATGCTACCTGTCAGAATCACATTGATTCAGAATGACAGCAGCACAAATGCAACTTAAAGCTCCTCCACAACAAACACACAATAACTATGACTGTAACAGCTCATATACACAACACAACAACTATTACTGTAACTATTACTGTAACAGCTCATATACACAACACAACAACTATTGCTGTAACTATTACTGTAAGAGCTCATATACACAACACAGCTGTTACTGTAACAGCTCATACATACAACACAATAACTATTACTGTAACAGCTCATATACACAACACAACTATTACTGTAACTATTACTGTAGCAGCTAATATATACAACACAACAACTATTACTGTAACTATTATTGTAAGAGCTCATACACATAACACAATAATTTACTGTAACAGCTCATACACAACAAAATAATTATTACTTTAACTATTACTGTAACAACTCATATACACAACACAATAACTATTACTGTAGCTATTACTGTAGCAGCTAATATATACAATATATATTACTGTAACTATTATTGTAAGAGCTCATACACATAACACAATAACTGTTACTGTAACAGCTCATACCCAACAACATAATTATTACTTTAACTATTAGAGTAACAGCTCATATACACAACACAACAACTATTACTGTAACAGCTCATACACACAACACAACTGTTACTGTAACAGCTCATACACACAACACAATAACTGTTACTGTAACAGCTCATAAAACGTGCTAATTGACAGCTCTTCAGGGCGTCTGTAATATTCACTGTATTTTTAACAGTAATTCTGATTCATACAGAGATAATATACAAAAGAGACTAAAGTATCTAAATGACAGTGGAGGCTTAAATCCAGCAGTTAGCATGCTAAAACCAGTAGTAGCATTTAGAGGCCTGAATTTTGTTTGTACTTTTGTCCATTTTTATAGATTTCCTGCCCTCTCCTCGAGGACGTCCAGTATTTGCAGTTACAGTATCTGCTTTATCTGACCAATACTTTCATAAATTAGATAGTACTGAACAGATCCCTGTGATGCTGGAGAGCAGCGAGACGTCCAGGAACCAGAAACCAGTGTTCTTCTAACCTATATATTCATAACTTTACTGACAAACAACACATTTCGACTTGACATTATATTTACATTTACTTTCATGTTATATTCATAGTTCCGTAATATTTATTATGTTATATTTGTGTTTATTCTAATGTTATACAGCGTTTATAGTGCAGTGTTTATTTATATTTATTCTAATGTTATACAGCGTGTTAACTGATAAAAACACATCTACTGTCCAGATAAACAGATTTAAACAGTTTTCACAGCTGTGATTTGTATTCTGAGCTCACCGATTAGCAGCAGGCTTCCAACTGCTAAGCCACCACCTACAGACACAGAAACACAAACAGATGTATATTATAAACATATTCATTAATGATTATTTTAATGATTATGAATAAGAATTTACTGAGCAGATTAACAGAGGTGTGTCAAAACTTTTCCTCAGCTCCATGTACTTCAGTAAAATGCTGATGGATTTACAAAAAAGAACTGACAAAATGGATTTATAAAATAGTCCCCAAAGAAAACTTATTACTTCAGATTTTCCACAATTTTCCCATCAACATTCCACATAAACTCAGAAGACACGTGTAGGTTCAATGGTGGTTCTGGATAGTAACTAAAATGTCTATATTTGTGTTGTAGTCATGGCGACCCCTGGCTCCTATCACCACCACTGTAAAGAAATTTGAACCATTTCACAACAAACCACCCTGAACCACTCAATCTCACACACTGAGTTACGGGAAACTTTGAAAAATTGGTGGAGTTTCCCTTTACGTAGCCACTACTTTTGTAGCGTTTGATCTCCAGAGTTTATTTTGAAATGAAGGCTGTTGATGGGGAGTTTTTGCTTAAGTAACAGCCTCTACTCTTCTTCTTACACTGGATGTTGGAACATTGCTGTGAGGATCTGATTGCATTCAGACACAGGAGCGTCAGTGAGGTCCTGACTTTAAGCGTGTCAGTGATGTTAGTGGTGCGTTTAGTACTGCAGGAAGGTTTTAATCCTCCTTATTTTAAGTTTTAACCTATTTAAAATACCCCCTCGTGACCTCTTGCCCCGTAACTGCCCCGCCCAGCGCGCGCTCACTGTGTCAGTGCGTTGTTTATGTTTAGTTTTCTGCCCTACTGCATCTCTGTCTATCCCTCTCTCCCTCTCTTTGCCCACCCAGCGCGCGATCCAGCCCCGTCACTCCGCTGGAGGTGGTGAGCAGCGCGCGGCCGGTAGTCCGTGTCCCGCGGAGCTGCGCGCGCCCTGCGCTCCTCCGAAAGCTGCTGCACGCCTGAGTCTGCACGGGCGCCGCCATCACATTGCACACGCACCCGAAAGAGGGCGATGACGTCATACATGATCCACCAATCAGAGAGCGGCATCAAAGCACTCCTCCAATCAGAGAGCGGCTTACTGCCTCCGGACCAATCAGAGCAGCGCGTGTTAATGCGTTCGGAGCGCGAGGGCAAAGAGGACGGAAGTGGAGCAAAAGAGCAAACGACTGTGGAGGTTAGAAGTGAAATAATAATAACAAAAATAGAGGTAATAAATGAATACTGAAGAGTTTAAATATACAGGAGTAGTAATGAACAGACCGACTATTGAGAACACACTGAATTAATCCCACCAAACAGGGAACAATTACAGTAATCAGAGTTTAATAACGGATTGAATAGTTTTAATGACTAAACTAAACATAAACAACGCACCGACACAGTGAGCGAGCGCTGGGCGGGGCAGTTACGGGGCAAGAGGTCACGAGGGGGTATTTTAAATAGGTTAAAACTTAAAATAAGGAGGATTAAAACCTTGAATAGTTGTATCCTGAGCTCTTCGTGCTGTTATAATATCACCGCTGTGTGTGTGTGTGTGTGTTATGACAGTGAGCGCTTAATTAATATAAATCAACCGAGAGCTGTTATAACTGACAGAATTCAGAGTAAATATCACAAACTGAAACTGTATTATTCCTGAATATTCCTGCAAGTTCCTGAATTTTCACGAATATTCCTGAAAGCTCCTGAGTATTCCTGAAGGGTAAATTATTTAGTCTGAACAAAAGACTGATGGAGTGCAGACAGTTAATCTGCTGCTGTGGATCTGATCAGATCACCATCATTAGAACAATTAGATCAATAAATAACATCGTCATAATCACACTAACATGAATTTAAACATCTGTATGATCAGTTTCACTTCAGAGACAGACAGATTGATAGACTGATGGATAGAAAGATGGACAGATACATGGAAATATAGATGACGGGCGAGAAAGATGGAGGGATAGATGATAGATTGATGAACAGATAGATAGAGATAGACAGATTGATACAATGCTGTGAAAAAGTATTTGCCCTGACCCAATTTCTTCCATTTTTGCTAATTTGTCACACTTAAAGGTTTTAGATCATACAACTAATTTTAATATAAGGTAAAGACAACATGAGTAAACACAACATGCAGTTTTAAATGATCATTCCATTTATTGAAGAATTATTCAAAATCTATATCACCCGTGTGAAAAAGTAATTGCCCCTAAAACAAATAACCGGTTGTGTTGCCCTCGGCAGTAACAACTGCAATCAGACATTTGTGATAATTTGCGAGGAGTCTTTTACATCACTGTGGAGGAATTCTGGCCCACTCTTCTTTACAGAACTCTTTAATTCTTTAACTTTAATTCAGTCACATTGGAAGGTTTTGAGCATGTTTAAGGTCTTGCCTCAGCATCTCAATGGGGTTCAAATTAGGACTTTGACTTGGCTACTCCAAACCTTCATTGTCCCAGAGCCTCAGCAATGGCTTTGTAACCTTTTCCAGACCTTAGGTTTCAATGACTTCTTTGACTTCTTTCGTTCACTTTCTTCTGTATTTGAATCTTTCTAGAACGTGGCATCATGAGCTGCTTTTTGAGACGTTCTAGCTCTTTCACATTGCCAGACAGGTTCTATTTAAGTGATGTTTAGATTCAGCAGGTCTGGCAGTAGTCATGTCTGGGTGTGGTCAGTGAAATTAAACCCAATAGTCAGTTGAATTTAGTTAACCAGTTTGGCCAGGTAGGGCTGAACAGCACTTTTCCTTCAATAAATGAAATCATCCATTGAAAACAGCATTTTGTGGGTAATATTAATAGTTTGATGATCTGAAACATTCCCGTGACATGTGAAATGTGACAAACATATAAAAATAAAAGAGATTGGGAAGGGGCAAATACTTTTTCCACAGCACTTAAGACACATGTATATAGATATACAGATAGATAGACAGACAAATGGCTGTACTTTTTTGATCTGAGGTCAATGTTGTTACAGTAGCATTTTGGACTGTATCTGCAGTTTACAGTTCAGTCTGTTTATGAGTAGATTATTGATGTTCTGTTGCTCTGATGGAGTTTAATTCCTGTAACTGTAATATTAGTAGTTCTGGACAGTGCTGTGATCACCAGGAGCAGCTCTACCATACCAATCCGATCAGCATAGGTCACTACATTTTTGTTTAAATAGAGTTAAGATCACTGTAGACAATGTGATGTAGGATCTAACAGGATCTCTGTGGAGTTTATGCTTTACTCGGAAACATATCTGCTCCCTCAGACTGACAGTCTGTGTCAGGGTGATTTTGAAAACGATTGTTTGACGCCTGTAAACTCAGACCAGCTTTGATAATTTGCTGTATCAGAACCCAAAATCAGTTTGAAAGTATTTCTTGGTTCTAACTTGCGTGATTCAGTGCTGTTTTTATCTGTTTTAGGAATCTTTATATCTGTAAACACTGTTAAACCTGTCAGTCACTTTCAGAAACACACTGCGCTGCTCAGTCCGGCTCAGCTGTGTGATAAATATAGTGATCAGTTGTGTAGTATGTTATTGTATTGTGTGTGCTCAGTCAGTTTTATCAGAATGTGTCTGTCCGCGCTCTGTAATACACAAACAGTCATAACATGTCATTGGTTTCCTGAAGGCTGTGTTTGGGTTTCCTGCGCAGGGTTCTGCAGGTCGGGGTTAAGAACACAGTCAGGAGGGAAGTGTGATACTCATCAGTGCAGCGCTGAAAGGAGAGGAATTGTGTCGGATCTGAGCGTTCCTCTGGAACGTGGTGGGTATTATTCCTGTATTTTCCAAAAACAACAGACTTTTATGATGTGATTTCAGCTGAACAGTAGCTTTAAAAGTAAAGAAAGAGACACGCGTCCAGACTGAGCACAAATAACCCCCACACTGAGGGCTGTAACAGTACAGGGGGCCATGCAGTGTAAGTATTACAGTGTATCGTGCCTTGGAGTTATTATATCAGATTGTATCACAGGGTCTCGAATTGTATCATTTGCATTGTATCAAATTATATCGCTGCATATTGTATTGTTCCGTTTTGTATCAACTTGTATCGCTGCATAACGCATCATATCATATTGTATTGAATTGTATTGTGGCTTAACATGTTATTTTGTATTGTATCGATTTGTTTTGCAACGTATCGTATCATTTCAAATTGTATCACTGCATAACATATCGTATCATATCGTATTTGAATTGTATCACAGCATATCTTATCTCACATGTATCGAATTGTAGTAATTTATATTTTTATATTATAACTAACTTGTTATCATGTGACCAGAGTTAAATCGGGACACTGTTATCAGCTTTTGTTTTAAATAGAGTACGTCTATGAAGTGGAATTTTGTAATAAACTGAAAATGTAAACAATGATGAACAATAATATAAGGCACATTTTTACCATCTTCTTATTTGTACTGTATGGAGAAAAGTACTGAGTTGTGGAGCATTCTAAAAGTTGTGAATTGTCCTGCGTCCAGTCCTGCCACGTGGAAGAGGTTGATAATAACACTGTTTAGAGCGGAGCTGCATTGCTGTGGATGTTCTGCGTCGCTGCGCTCTGATAAAGATCAGGTTTTCATCACTGTTTCAGCAGCTAAAGGTCATTACAATAAAGATTAGTCACTATATTCAGCGCTATTTTTCTCACAGCGGATCAGCTGCTCTTAAATAGCTCTGCTTTTGTTAATGTTCACTCTGAGCGCGGATTAGTCTCCACCTTTTGTTGATCTTAGGCATAACCTGGATTTAAAATTCATGATTGTGTTCTGACTGCTGTAGCCCTGTGTGCAGTGATGCAGTGTGGCCTGATTCTGATATCTGCTCTGATTGATCTCCCGGTGCTCCTCCCAGTAATCATTAAGGAGCCGCTGAGCAGAAAGAAAGCCTGATGTGTTCACCCCGAGCGTTCTTCTGCCGTCCAGACTGCGTCCCCATCCCACCTGCACCATCTGGGTCCTCTGGGGAGCGCTGTGTTATTTAACTCTGCCTGGACCCCCGCTGTAATCTCCTTAAGCCCCCCCCACTCCCAAAAACCTGTCCGCCTCATGCTTCCCTAATTTTAAAGTACAGAATCAAAAGCAGTACAGATTTTATTTGGACTGGCTCCTCTCGACACCAGAGCTCTCCATCCACCCCATCAAACCTTACTGTATTAAACAGATAATCGAATCCACACCGAGTCTCAGTTATTACAGAATTATAACAATTTCATAAAGGTCTGAGCACTCAGTTAACATGTTAATTTTCTCAGTGGAAATAAGTGAACACATTTCTACAGGAATAAACTTAAACATTATTTTACATTATTCCTGTTTATTTGCGGTGGGTTTAACACATTGGGAATAAAATATATGTGCCATAACCTTTCCATATTTTAGGTTGTATTTTTTCCCCAGTGTGTTAAATTTAGCAAATAATCAGTAATTGTGTAGTAAAATGTGCAGTAGTGCGTCTCTGTAGAGGATGTTTAACTTATTTACATTGAAAAAATGCACAGCTCTAAATAGTGTAGTGTCACGTTAAAAAAAATAATGATAATAATAATAAGAAGAAGAATGTTTCATTTATTCAGCACCTTTCTCACACCCACTGTAGGTCACTTTACATTAAAAAAAAAATCTATTTGAATGTAGAGTGAGGGAAAGGGAGAGAAGCTCTGAGAGAACAAACATCATTAAAAATAAAAATAAAAATGAAATTAGAATTAATACAATTTCAAGAAGAAAGGATAAATAAGGCAGACTGAAATTTAATACAGTCAAGTTAAATGGATTATTAAAGTAAAATAAGTAATACAAATAAATAAGAAAAATAAGTAATAAAAACAATACAAAAATAAAAACAGTAATAGGACTAAGATCATATTAAGATTTTAATCAGCTAAATAACATTAAATGAGAAGATTATTTGAAAAATAATACAATTAAATAAAAGGAGAAAGGAAAAGTTGGAATCAGTTAGATACATCAGTTACAGGCTGTCTGACAGAGATTAGAGATTAAAACTTTAAAATGACAGAGTGATGCCAGCGAGTGAGTTTTATAGACTCCTTTAATGAATATTGAACATTCTAGAACAGTTTTCAGTTGTATGCAAAAGTTTGAGCACCCAGGGTCAGTTATAGTTATACAAGTTATATTTTACACTGTATATTCTATATTGTATTAAATTATAAAATACTTGTGTGTGTGGGTTCAGTGTGTTCAGGTGCAGTGAGTAGCTGAGATGGTTTCCCTTGTCACTCACTGATCCTCTGCACACAGAAAAGTGGCGTGTGGAATTGCACAATCGATCCACGATTCAGATGGAATTCTTATGTGAAAGCAAACCAGTGATAATGAGCCCCTCCCCCGGGTGAGCCCAGAGTCCTGAGTGCAGACTTGAGTATTCGGGATAAGTGTGAAAACACCGTAAATAACCAGTGTGACACAGAATATCGCTGCTGTTGGAAGAAAACCTCGTATCTCCAAAATGGTAACTTTACAGGAAAAGGAAAAAACCTACTTTACTTTTAATGTAAGTCAATGGAAGCAAATTTTTTCCAAGTAATTTTGGGCTGTTTCAATGGTCCATTCTTCATGGACCAAAAGAAGCAGCCCAGGCATTTTCAAATTATGTCAAAAATTGAAAAACGGCAAAATTGGAGATACAAGGTTTTCTTCCGACAGCAGTTAAAGTTTCAGAATGTACCGTTTACTCTCCAGTACAGCCATAAATATAGAAGCTAACCTGCAAAAACAATTTATTGTGTCTGTGATGTCACAAAAACCTACTTATTTACATCCACCCTTTCAGCCTACAGCAGTTTAGCTCCACCCATTCAGCCCACAGCAGTTTAGCCCAACCATTCAGCCCACAGCAGTTTAGCCCCACCCTTTCAGCCTATAGCAGTTTAGCCCCACCCACTCAGCCTACAGCAGTTTTGCCCCACCAATTTAGCCTACAGCCATTTAGCCCCGCCAATTCAGCCTACAGCAGTTTAGCTCCACCCATTCAGCCCACAGCAGTTTAGCCCCATCCATTCAGCCCACAGCAGTTTAGCCTCATCCATTCAGCCTACAGCAGTTTAGCCCCACCAATTAAACCAAATCCTTTTCTGTGTTTGATGTAAATGTGATCAGGTTTGTTCTGCAGTGGCTCTGTGCTGTACTGTGGTTATAAACTCCGTATCAGTGTAATAGTACTGTAGATTACAGTGAAGAGGGGATCTCAGAGTTTATTGGCTGGATTAGATTAAGTTGTTTTTCTATCAGATGATGAGGATTAAAGGAGTGTTAGATTTGGACCCACTCCTCGGCATTCTGGGAATCCCCGCGAGGCTGCAGATGGTCTGAACGCTGATTTTACGTTTTCATTGTGTATGTATATTAACACCATGTAATCCGGGATTAGCACGGATTTGTTGTTAATGATCTGACTGTAGCACAGAGTTTGTTCACCTCACCCAGGGAATTATGGGAAATGCAGTGCTGTTTGTTCTGAATGCACAGGGGTATTGTGGGTAATACAGACATAGTCTGAACTAAGAGTGAGTAGACTCTGCATCGACTCACTGACCACATGATCTCATTACATTCAGTCCTAATCCTGACCAACACTGACCACCTGAACATCATTCAGTGTTCTGAGTGTATCGTAGAAATCAGCCGTGCTTAAAGACTGACTGACTAATTCATTAGACAGTGAGCATCATTAGACGTGTTTAACTGGATTTAGTGCAGTTTGTGAAACACTGAATAAAAATCATTATAGTTGAAGATTATTATTATTATTATAGTATTTTTTAAATGTGACATTACAAGTTCAGTTTTGTCTCTTCCAACTGATTAAATCTCAGAAAAATGAAATATCTTGTATCGTAAAAATGTTTTGAGGTATCATGATATAATATTTTTGCCATATCGCCCTCCTGTAATCTTAACCCATCTTTACGCCCGTTGGCCTTTCCTGGACACTCCGTTTTTACACAATCATGATTGAATCACCTGTTTAAGATGTTTTTGAATATTTTACAGCGTTTCTAGAAGGGGTGGCAAAAAAAATATCACGGTACACAAAGACGTTTTCTAAGTACACAATACGTACCATCACAGTACATGATATGTAGCACCATATTAATTTTTTGATTAGTTGGAACAGACAAAAGAACCAGTAATGTTACATTTAAAAAATTACTATAAAAACTATGAATACAATGATTTTGTTCAAAGACACTGTACTGCACTAAAGCAGTTACAGCCTAATCACACTCTTTTTATAATGAAACATGCAGTTGGCAGGAGTTCTAGTGTTCTTTAAGTACACACTTAAAAATGATGCTTCTCCAAGGGTTCTTTAGTAAAGAAAATGGTTCTAAATAGAATTATGAACACTCAAAGAACCCTTTGCATGATTAAATGGTTCTTTGCATTGTGTAATGGTTCTTCAGATTGATGGAGAAAGTGCTGTAATTGGTTCTATATAAAACCTTTTTAGAAAAGAGTTCTGTATAGCACCAAAAGGGTTCTTCTATTATTACAAGCTTGACATAACAAAAGAAAAAGAACCCTTTTTGGTGCTACATAGAACCATCTACAACACATTCTCCTAATCTGAAGAACCCCTGCATGATGCAAAGAACTGTTTAATCATGCAAAGGGTTTGTTGAGTGTTTATGATCCTATACAGAAACAACTTTCTTTACTAAAGAACCCTTGAAGAACCATCATTTTTAAGTGTGTACTGACCATATCCATGAGACGCTCAGAAAAGCACACTGCGATGTGGTTTATCATGATAATGATAAAATATCGTCGTATTGCCCAGCCCTGTCTTAAACCCTAGTCTTAAAGCCCAACTGTTTCTGAACGTGTTGGAGGCATCATTTTCAGAATGAGCGAATATTTATAAAAAACAACGACATGATGAAGGTAAACATTAAACATCCCGTCTTTGTTCTATTTTCATTGAAATATCGTTGGAATTGAGGTTTGAGGTGCTCTTTCTGAAACCGTGACAGAACCATAGAGGGTGAAGCTCTGCCGGATGTTCAGAGGAATACGGATTCATGTTCTCCTCCGGTTCCTCCATCCTGCAATTAAAGCCAGCTAGCGAAGCAGAAGCTGAAGCAGACCCAAAGCCCTGCCACCTCCCCTGGGGTCTACTTCAGCTTCTGCATGGCTAGCTGGCTTTAATTCTGCAGACCACCCCAAACCCACTCACCCAAACACGTCTGTGAGAGCTGCGGAAGGTGCTGAATTCCGGTTAATCCCATTACACACTGACTGATGCGCCGGCCAGCAGCCTTATTCTTATTCCTGTTCCATTGTGACCAGATATCCTCTCTCAGAGCACTGTAATTACACCCACAGCCTGGTCAGGAGAAACAGCTCTGCTCCAGTGCTGGAGCTTTCCGCCTGACTGAAGGTGAGTCCGACTCGGGGACGCTCCCAATGAACCATCTGCTGTCACTGAGGTCCAGAACACAGCCGGACAGCACATATACGCATATGCTCCTCAGACGCTTCTCAGCGCTTGGCTCTGCTGGACGGAACCTGAAATCAAAACTGACCACGGAAGACAGTTTAGTGGGTCTCAATCACAAATATCTCCCTAAGTTTGTTCTTAAACCTCGGTTCTTTAGCTCTGGTTCTTTTTATTAGGTTAGCTGCAGTAGGAAACCTGGGTGTGATCTTAGACTCTGAGCTGTGTTTAATCTGCATTTAAACACAGTCACTAAAGCATCTTTTTATCATGTGAGAAAATCACTAAAGTTCAGCATTTTCTCTCTCAGAGTGATGCAGAGAAACTTTTTGCTGCATTTGTTCAGAGTTGATCATTGTAATGATCTTCTTACTGGAGAAAACAGTTCATCCTCTACAACTCGTACAGAACGCAGCAGCACGGATCCTCACAGCACCTACACATAGAGCGCATATCACCCCTGTTTACACACTGCACTGACCACCTGGATCTTTTAGAGAGATTTAAAAGCTCTGCTGCTGGTTTTTAAAGTTCTGAATGTCTGTCTGTCTTAAAGCTTCTGAATGTCTGTCTGTTTATGACCTTAGGTCTGCAGATACTGACCTTATGCAAACACCTTCAGTAAAATTATTATTATAGTAATAGTTATTCTGCTTCTACACTGTGTAGCTCAGTTCACCTTTTATTAGACAGTTGAGCTCAGATCTCACTTTTAATAAACATCTAAAAAATGCAGCTCTTTAACTCAGAGCTTCTTTAAAACTCTACGGCTCTTTGGTGTGTGTCTTTAATCTGATCCGTGTTATTGTGCTAATACTCACACAAAAAGTCTACAGCAGATTCATAACGTGTCCTTACAGCGCAGAACTGTTCTTACCTTTGTGGTCTAGAGTGTGTAGATTCTGTTCTTACCTAAGAACAAATCCCAAATAAGAAAATATTGGTGAATGTCAGAATCTTTCTCAAAACTGCGTAAGTGGGATTTAAGAAGAAATTTGTTTTGTGAAATTTGTGTGAATGAGGTGAACAAGGCCCAGTTTCAGCCACAAGTGATCAGAAGTGGCACTTTGGGTTTCCGGCCTAAAGAGAAAAAAGACAGAATGTTTTGACAGAAAACAAAGATTAAACAGGCCTAAAACAAAGTGTCTAATTCTAACACTTTATATATAATTTTAATGAGAAACTGATTAAAATGCTGTTTGCTTCTGCAGTGCTCAGTCTGATCAGTAGATCAACAGTAAAAACATCAGCCATGTGGAGCTTTCACCGTTTAAATGAGGAACATCAGACACCAGGAACCATATTACAAAAAATTATATTCATGAAATCATTATTAATATTAAAATAATAATAATAGTAATATGATCATTATATTCATTATGTAAAAAGATATCATTTCGGTCCTTTTTTATTGTTGATCTTCTACCTAAAGGGGAATTCCACTAATTTTTCAAAAGTTTCTGCGTAATTCAGTGGTTGAGATATAAGGAGGAGGAGAAGGAGAAGGCCATTATTTGGTGGGCTCACCTGTCAGTGCAGGTGTGCATTTGATGGTCAGTGAGGGGTTAAACTCAAGGTCAGCGTGTGTAAATAAGTAATGATGGATTTACTTTCACAGATCAAACAGAGCCGTCCGCACCTGTAAGTCTTCAGTCAGCTGTTCCACACACTGTGGTTCTGTATGTATGTGTTCTAAACCACCCAGAACCCCCTGGGTTCACTGGGTCTTAAGGCCAGGGAGGTGGGTGGAGGAGTGGGCGATGTAATTAGTTGAATGTGAGTTGAAAGTAAGAAATGCCTCTACAGTGGATCATCCAGATAAAGAGTCACCCAACAAAATGTTACTGTAACAGAGCTAATACTGTTGTTATATACTAATATTAGTGTACTGTACTTAATGTACTGTTATATACATTTATTATTTACATAAAAGAGTTAATAGCCTAAAACTTCTGTTATTCATCTGCAGGTTTGGAACAGATCCAGCTGTATGTAAGAGTGGAGGAACTCTATTACAGTTACTGTGTGTGTGTGTGTGTGTGTGTGTGTGTGTGTGTGTGTGTGTGTGTGTGTGTGTTTGCAGACTTTGCTGCGCTGTTGCAATGCTGTACAGTGTTTTGGGGAAAACGCTTGGCTTTGTCGGCTTCACCATCCAGTACGGCTGTTTAGCACACTGCGCATTCGAGTACATAGGAGAGTTTGTTATGGTGAGTTTATTTACTATAAGAAATATTATTAGAATCAGAATCAGAATCCAAATCACTTTATTAGAATCACAATATCAGAATCATTATTAGAATCAGAAATCTTTTGATTAGAATCAGAATCTGATTTAGTTTATTCAGATATGAGTTTAGTTACAATCATTTAATTTTATTAGAATCAAAATCAATCAGAAATACTTTATTAGAATCGGAATCACAATCTGAATGATTTTTCATTAAATTCAGATCAATTTATTAGAAACAGATATAACTGATTAGTGATTAGCGTATTATTAATGTATGGTCAGTGTGTGTATTTTCCCGCAGTGTTCTGGACCATCTATGGAGCCGACCATCACTAACCATGACGTGGTTTTCTCCGAGCGCATCAGCAGACACCTGTACAGGATAGAGAAGTGAGTGAAGATGATGATGATGATGACAACAATGATGATGTTGCTATACGTTAAGCTTGCTGTGGTGTGCTGCTGTGGTTGTGTTTTGCAGAGGCGATATCGTCATAGCTAAAAGTCCTTTTAATCCGAGGATGAACATCTGTAAGAGAGTGGTGGGCCTGGAGGGGGATAAGGTGTGCACCAGCGGACCCTCGGACAGCTTTAAGACACACACTTTCGTGAGTGCTGCTGTGTTTATGTGTCTGCGTCAGACTGTAGACGAGGCTGATTTTTTCTGCAGTAACAGTCTCAGCAGAGAGAGACTATCTCCGTCCTGGAGTTTTTATCCTGCACTCAGTGAATTTCTCATGTATGGATTCTGCCTAAAATATTCACCTTTCAAAGCAGCGAAGGCCTTTTTCAGGTATTATCCTTCAGCAGCCTCAAACAGCTGTTATTGCTTTTTGGTATTACAGTTTTCTCTCTCTGTATGCGCGGCCTGCCTGTAATTTCAGGGCAGTTAGAGTTAGTGCCAGCTGAGTAGAGCAGCTGATGGAGAGGGTGGAGGGGTGATTTGAGGCCGGTGGGGATGGGGGGGTTAGATATATAGAAGCCTGTCAAACAGCAAAAATAATACAAGTTGCCTATAAAAGCTCACCTGTCACTGTACACGTACTAGACTTCAGGAGTCTTCAGCTTTATCGGCTGTTTATATTCTGTGTTGCTGCAATTCATTCAAAGATATTCACTAAAAACTGGCTTTTCTACCAATTTCAACAAATTTCCCCCATAACTGAGTGTGGGAGATGTAAACAGAGAGATTCAGAGTGGTTTAGTGTGAAATGGTTCAGATGTCTCTACAGTGGTGGTGATAGGAACCAGGGGTTGCCATGACTACAACACAAATATAGACATTTTATTTACTATCAAAAACCACCAGTGAACCTACACGTGTCTTCTGAGTTTTATATGGAATGTTGATGATGGGAAAATAGTGGAGAATCTTGAAATAATAAGTTTCTTTGGGGACTATTTTGCCCCACAACACCCTGCAGGTATCCCTCCACCATGAATGGAGTTTTTCTCGAAATTATCATAAAGCAGTGTCTCAGTCATCAGGCAGTAAATTCATAACCATTTGATGTAATAACTTTCTGTGAGGGAGCTTTTAGAGGTGGACGTCTGGTTCCTATCACCACCACTGTGACAATTCTGACTCGAGAAAATTTCTCTAGAAACTCATACCAAAACTTTAAAAATTCAGGGTTCTTAAGATTTATATTATAAAGATTGTAGCATAAAGTAGTACATTCTTAACCTGGCTAATGAGTGAACGGCGATTGATTTGCATGGGCTAATGCTAATGTTTCACTGTTAACTTCCAGTCATTCTTATCAAAGTTAGCACATTGGCATATGCTAAAATATGTTCTTAATATTTATTTTATTAGAACTTCATTCTGATCATTTTTTTTTAGAGCTTCATTCTGGACATTAATTTAAACAAACTCTTCATCTTTCTGGACGCATCTCAGAGTTTAAATGGTTGATGCTCACTGTGGGGGGTCAGTGCAGTGCGGAAATGCACTTTGTGTTCCTGTTTTTGTTTTGTGTTGTTGTGCTGTAGGTGCCACGAGGTCACGTGTGGTTGGAGGGTGATAACCTTCATAACTCCTCAGACTCCCGTAGCTACGGCCCGATCCCATATGCTCTGATCAGAGGACGAGTCTGTTTAAAGGTGAAAAAGAGAGACTTTTCCTCACATAGCCTCAGTATTTATATCAACCACATAATCAAGTTTATTACAAATACTGAACAGCTCCACTCACTCTGAGACATGAAGCCTCAGATGCCAGAATGTAACTGCTGCACCATTTAAGGTGGAACTGAAAATTAGAATAAGAAGCTGACGAATGGGGAAGGCAATTTCATCAGCATGTTTGAGGCGGGTGTGCGATCATTTAGGCATGCCATTAGCACTATGCTTATTGGCTAATTGGTGGGCTATAAGCTCCCATTATCTGTTAGCTGCATTAGCCTCGTAGCTCCAGCGCTAAAATGAAATAAGCAACTTCACACACCAAACATGTCTTGGCTGATCTGCTACATTTGGGATAATTGGGGGGAACCTGGGGGGATTATTCAACAAAATATTGCTTTAACAAGCAGGCAAAGTTCATGATGTTTTGGTTTAGAAACTTTCTCACAGCACATTGAAACTTTTCTGTGTTTATTCTGCAGCTGTGGCCTTCACACAGTTTCGGCGCTCTGAGTCAAAGCCCCAACGATGGAAGAATTATACCCAGCAAATGACCACCACCACAGAAGAGACATTTTTGTAGCTTTTTAAGAATAAATGCATATTTATGATGTCAGTGCAGGTCTTCTGTCTTCTTTTCATCTGGGCTGGGGAATTTAAGAATCCAAATAAACATTTTCATGTTTCTCATCTCAATGGGCCGGGTGTGAGTGTGAGTAATCCTCTGCAGAGATACACTGCAAATTTTAGCACAATTTCTATTTAATTGGAAGATAATTGGGAAAAAATAAAACAAAATGTGTCACATTTTATGTTTTATTCCCCCAAAATCTGTTAAATTCAGTAAATAAATAGTAATTGTGTTTTAAACCTTGCAGTAGTGTGTCTCTGTAGAGGAGTGTAACTTATTTACACTCAGAAAATGAATATGGAATTTCAGCAAAACACTTGCACATGACTTAACCAATTTTGCAGACTTCAAGTACTCAGAGTTTTCAGTCATGTTTTCAATGCAACATACAAATTCAATAATATTAATATTTCATATTCAGCCTTTTGTTTGTCCTTTTTTCATTTTAAATCAAAATGTTTTAGAAATTTTATTTATTAATTTTTATTTTAGAAATTGCTTTTTTTCATAGTGGATGTCCCGAAGATGCTGAGAGAGAGATGTGCTGTAACTTATGTCAGAGAAGTGACATTATTATTATTATTATGAAATAATTCTTGAGTCCAAGGCAGATTCTGGGCTCGTTGGGGAGAGGGGCTCATTATCACTGGTTCACTTTCACACACAAAAATTCCATCCAGATTGACTGCACAATTCCAAACGTCACTTTTCTGTGTGCAGGTTTGCAGAATGGTCAAGCACAGCTTCATCCGTTTGCTGCTGTTTATTAATTTACTTCGACACAAACACTGAAGTGGTGAAGAGCAGCTCTTTCTGTCCACAGCAGTCCTCTCCCCCATCCCACACCCGAAAAGGAGACACAGAATGAACAAGTCACACGGACCCACACGCGGTGCCGGGAGCCAGAGAGCTTCCACACGCACAGCGAACCTACCAGATTTCCCCCAGACCACCGATTTCAGGAGGACCAGAGATCGGTTCTCTGTTCCGCTCCTGGCTCAAAAACAGCTTTCACACTCGACCAAATGTACCGAACTCGAAGAGCAAACGGACTTGATCCGGAATAAAGCTCTAGTGTGGTGATAAACTGAGTGAAGCCAAATCCAGCTGAAGAACACTGAGCTGAGCCGCCGGGCGGCTTTCAATAACCCTACAGTCCACAGTTGGCTTCGTCCGTCTGTACTTTATTTTCCTGCGTTGGCATTTTATATTATAGTTACTGATTGTGTTGTATTGTTCAAATATTTTACATTAAATACTCCTGTGGGGTTTTGTTTAGTTCAAAAAACATCTGCATTTCTGCAGAACCCGCAGAGGAACTCGCAGAGAAACTCAGAAACAGATCAATCACCTTAATTAGAATAAAGAACTACAGAGACTTGACTCCTCCTCAAAGACGAGACCACCTTGATGAAGAATTGACGTTCTCCTCTCAGTAAGGTCTCAGGTCTCTCTTTAATCAGAGTTTTAATTAAAACTTCACAGCCTTGTCTGATCTCAGCTCAGGAGGAGTTTGTCTGTAAAACAGCTGCTCAACATCAAAAACCCTCTCAGATCCTCTCGCTGTTCATCCTCTCGTCCTGCTGGTTCTGATCAGTGATGGACAAAGTTCTCAAACCCAGAACTGGAGTGAAAGTATAAAAGCACTTGCTTTTAAATGCACTTAAGTATCAAAAGTAAAAATGCTGTCAGATATTCTTCAGGAAAATGTCTCTCCATCCAAACTGCTAATATCAGATCTCTGATCAAAAAATTTCCTCTAAAGGTTACAACACCCTCTTTACTTCTGAAGGTTTGTCAGAGGCCTAGTTGAAGTTGCTAAGCTATGATTGGTCATTGAATATTTAGGGGAGGGATTTAGTGAAAGTTGCACCACAATTGGATTGATGTATTTGTGAAAGTGCATCATATTCTTTTGTTTATTGTGGAAAATCTAGTTTTTACTTCATCATTTCTGCAGAAAGTAGAGAGTGAAAAGTGCAGATTGTTGAAATATTGGTGTTTGTCTTCTGACTGTTCATGTTTATGTTGTTTGTGTAGATTAAAGAGCATCAGACTGGATCAGTGATCAGTGTATCAGACTTGTCCTGGATCAGTGTATCAGACTGGTCCTGGATCAGTGTGTCAGAGTGGTCCTGGATCAGTGTATCAGACTTGTCTTGGATCAGTGATCAATGTGTCAGACTGGTCCTGGATCAACAATCAGTGTGTCAGACTGGGCCTGGATCATTGATCAGTGTGTCAGAATGGTCCTGGATCAGTGGTCAGTGTATCAGACTTGTCCTGGATCAGTGATCAGTGTGTCAGACTGGGCCTGGATCAGTGATCAGTGTATCAGACTTGTCCTGGATCAGTGATCAGTGTGTCAGAGTGGTCCTGGATCAGTGATCAGTGTGTCATACTGGGCTTGGATCAGTGATCAGTGTAACAGACTTGTCCTGGATCAGTGATCAGTGTATCAGACTTGCCCTGGATCAGTAATCCGTGTATCAGACTGGTCCTGGATCAGTGTGTCAGAGTGGTCCTGGATCAGTGTATCAGACTTGTCTTGGATCAGTGATCAGTGTGTCAGACTGGTCCTGGATCAACAATCAGTGTGTCAGACTGGGCCTGGATCAGTGATCAGTGTGTCACAATGGTCCTGGATCAGTGGTCAGTGTATCAGACTTGTCCTGGATCAGTGATCAGTGTGTCAGACTGGGCCTGGATCAGTGATCAGTGTATCAGACTTGTCCTGGATCAGTGATCAGTGTGTCAGAGTGGTCCTGGATCAGTGATCAGTGTGTCATACTGGGCTTGGATCAGTGATCAGTGTATCAGACTTGTCCTGGATCAGTGATCAGTGTATCAGACTTGCCCTGGATCAGTAATCAGTGTGTCAGAGTGGTCCTGGATCAGTGATCAGTGTATCAGACTTGTCCTGGATCATTGATCAGTGTGTCAGACTGGACCTGGATCAGTGATCAGTGTGTCAGAATGGTCCTGGATCAGCGATCAGTGTATCAGACTGGTCCTGGATCACTGTATCAGACTTGTCCTGGATCAGTAATCAGTGTGTCAGACTGGTCCTGGATCAGTGGTCAGTGTATCAGGCTGGTCCTGGATCAGTGTATCCAACTTGTCTTGGATCAGTGATCAGTGGTCAGAGTGATCCTGGATCAATGTGTCAGACTGGGCCTGGATCAATGGTCAGTGTATTAGCCTGGTCCTGGATCACTGTATCAGACTTGTCCTGGATCAACGATCAGTGTGTCAGACTGGACCTGGATCATTGATCAGTGTATCAGACGTGTCCTGGATCAGTGGTCAGTGTATCAGACTGGTCCTGGATCAGTGATCAGTGTGTCAGAGTGGTCCTGGATCAGTGTATCCAACTTGTCCTGGATCAGTGATCAGTGGTCAGAGTGATCCTGGATCAATGATCAATGTGTCAGACTGGGCCTGAATCAGTGGTCAGTGTATCAGACTGGTCCTGGATCTGTGTATCAGACTTGTCCTGGATCAGTGATCAGTGTGTCAGACTGGACCTGGATCATTGATCAGTGTGTCAGAATGGTCATGGATCAGTGATCAGTGTATCAGACTTTTCCTGAATCAGTGGTCAGTGTATCAGACTTGTCCTGGATCAGTGGTCATTGTATCAGACTGGTCCTGGATCAGTGGTCATTGTATCAGACTGGCCCTGGATCAGTGATCAGTATGTCATACTGGGCTTGGATCAGTGATCAGTGTATCAGATTGGTCCTGGATCAGTGATCAGTGTATCAGACTTGTCCTGGATCAGTGATCAGTGTCAGAGTGGTCCTGGATCAGTGTATCCAACTTGTCCTGGATCAGTGATCAGTGGTCAGAGTGATCCTGGATCAATGATCAATGTGTCAGACTGGGCCTCAATCAGTGGTCAGTGTATCAGACTTGTCCTGGATCACTGTATCAGACTTGTCCTGGATCAGTGGTCAGTGTATCAGACTTGTCCTGGATCAATGATCAATGTGTCAGACTGGGCCTGGATCATTGATCAGTGTGTCACAATGGTCCTGGATCAGTGATCAGTGTGTCAGACTGGTCCTGGATCAGTGATCAGTGTATCAGACCGGTCCTGTATTAGTGGTCAGTGTGTCAGACTGGTCCTGGATCAGTGGTCAGTGTATCAGACTGGCCCTGGATCAGTTTTAAGGGCCTAAACATTCTATTTACAGGACCTGGATCAGACAGACGGAACTGAGGCTGCTGTGCTCAGAATCCTGGCAGTAATCAATACATTCGCATGACTGATCAAAGTGGCTGATTTTTGATGATGAACAGTATCAGAGTGTGTGAAGGACTCACTGAAGGCTGATGTTACTCAGGAGACAAAGTTACTGCAGGATTTACTGATGTATAAATCTTATATTCACCACAATATCTATTAACCCTCCAGATATAACCAGCTCCTCTAGAGGATTATTACTCAGTAACTACTGTGAACTATTCAGTATCGACTGAAAACAATGATGCATAAATTATGAGAGTGAGGACCTGAGGACCAGGTGTGCAGACACACATTCAGACTCTAAGAGTTTAGGGGGTTAAATTCTTTATCCAACCCAAAAAACTCAAAGCTAATAGTTCATGAGACTCACTAATGTCAGTGGTTCCTCAGACTCAGTACAGTCAATGTCTCCACAGTTCAGCACAGTTCCGTATGGTTCTTCAAAGTTCCACAGTTCCTTGTAGTTATCCACAGTTCCCCACAGCCCTCCATAGTTCTCCACAGTTTATACAGTTACCCACTGTCCCCCAACAGCCCCCACATTTCCTGGTTGATTCCATAGTCCCTCACTGTTCCCCATAATTTACTATAGTTTTCACACTTCCCATAGTTCCTCAGAGCTAAACATATTTCCCAACAATCCTCCAGTTTGTCAAAGTTTCCCACAATTTCCCCAGTTCCCCATCATTCCCCTCAGCTCTGCATAGTTTTCTATACAGTTCCCTATATTTCCC